AAAGCTTAGAGCAGCCCCTGGTACCAAGGAAAGGACTGGCTTAGTTTGTCTGTGTTGCTGTAACAAAATACCCCAGACTAGGCCATTTCTAAATAATAGAAATGTGTTTCTCAGAGTTCTGGAGGCTGGGAGCCCAAGACCCAGGCCCCGGTAAGTCTGGTGTCTGGTGAGAGTCTGGTCTCTGCCTCCAACTTTGCCCCTGTTGCTGTGTCCTCACTGGCGGAGGACACGGAGGACACAGAGGACTGAGCTGGTCCCCTCCAGCCCTTTACAAGGCTCTGCTGTCCCTGTTGCTTCCTGGAAGGCCCTGCCCCCCAACGCCACGGCAGGGATTTGGAGGGGACACTCAAACCGTAGCAGGGACCATCAGGAGCACAGAGTGTCTGAGACAGCACAGACTGGAAGTCTGGAATTTGTAGCTGCTGATTGTTCTCGCTCGTGTTCTCAGACCTTCTCTCTAGGAGCCACGCTCAGGGTGGTCAGAGGTGGTGAGTGAGGTGGCGGAGGCGAGTGCTGGGCAGGGGGCATGCTGTTGGGTGCCCACTCCACACCTCCTGAGGGACACCAGCTGCCCCATGCCCCTTGCGGTGAGGAGCTGGTGCCATCAGCAACTGCATGGTTGGGGTAGAGAGTCCCCCTCCTGCCTGTGTGTGGAGGGCTGGGAGACAGGGAGGATCTTTGGTCTCTGGCTTGGTGGCTTTTTTTTTGAGATGGAGTTTCGCTCTTGTTGCCCAGGCTGCAAGATCTTCGCTCTTGTGCAATGGTGCAAGATCGGCTCACCACAGCCTCCGCCTCCTGGGTTCAAGCGATTCTCCTGCCTCAGCCTCCCAAGTAGGTGGGATTATAGGTATGCGCCACCATGCCCCGCTAGTTTTATATTTTTTGTAGAGATGGGGTTTCTCCATGTTGGTCAAGCTGGTCTTGAACTCCCGATCTCAGGGGATCCGCCCGCCTCTGCCTCCCAAAGTGCTGGGATTACAGGCGTGAGCCACCCCGCCCAGCCGGCTTCCTGGAGTTTTGAGGCTCATTTCTCACTCATATGCATACCCTTCATTCACAGCCCCGACAGGTCGTCTGAGCAAGCCTCACTCAGCTGGATTTTGCATGTGCTGTCGGCCAGCTCCCCAGTCTAGAATGTTCTGTTCGTGCTTTCCTCAGAAGAAACCTGCAGGGATGGGAGGGCGCTCACCAGAGGCAGCGAGGGATCTAGGGTTTCGGTGCTTCTCACATTGGCCTCGCCTGACCCGTGCGTGGAGCTTGCTCTGGCCATCTCTGTCCCTGCCCATGCCCTGTGGGCGCTGTGGCTCGGCCGGGCTGGCCTCTTCCTCCTTTGGCAGGAGGAAGGTGCTTGGCTCTGCCCGGCTGCCTGTTTGCGCACGAGCTGCCCTGTGCTCCAGGCACCACCAGGCCCTTGGGGAGCCCTCCTCGCCCCTGCTGCCTGGCCCTGCTGCAGAGTGACCCAGTGGCCAGGGCTGCCTTGGCTGTGAGGGGACCATGTGAGCCCCTTCCACATGGTGGATGGAGCTTGAGCTTTCACAAGAGAGAAAACCAGTGTTTGAATTTGACAAAAACCAGAGGCCTTGGCAAGGAGTAGGTACGGATGTGGCTGAGATGGGCCCTGGGCGTTTGCTGAGCGACTTCAGGTTGGCTCATAGGAGGCTTCCCTGACCTTTCAGGGTTTTACTGACTTCCAGTGGCTGAGTTAACGCACGTCAGGTGCCGGAGGCTCTCCGGCTGTCAGCCGGGGCCGGTGCACCCTTGGACTGATGGAAGGGCCTTGCACACAGTTCGAAAGGCCTCTGCCTTTGTGTTTTGAACAAGAGTTTTGTGTTTCACTGCTCAGGTGGAGGTGACCTTCCAGCTGCAGTGATGATAACAGAAGCTGGGACTGAGTCCGGGGCCTGGTGCCCAGGGGCGGGGTGGAGGCGGGCGGGCGGCACAGCCCAGGCCAGCACCAGCCCGGGAGCCTCGGTTTCCACCATCTCTGCAGCGTGGGGCCCCTTCGACCCTGTGTGACCTTTGCTGGTGGTGTTGGGTGCTTGGCTCTGCAGCTGCCTTGTCTGTGGGCAGCAGTGGTTTCTCTCCACTGACCGTGTCATCAGAGGCTTTCAGAGCCCACTCATTTCAGGCTCTAGCCACACAGCTGTGCCTGGGAGGGCGTCATGCGCCCGAGGCCTCGATGTGGCTCTTGCGCCATCTGTTCGGTCAGAGCTGTGAGTCCTGAGGGTCAACTCTGAATGAAAACAGTGTTGTGGTTCGAAATGGAAGGAAACTGGACCCTGAAGGTGTGGAACTTCCCCGCCACCTCCGGTGCATCCGTGGTTCGGCCTGGCAGCGCCGTGGACAATAAGCCATCCTGTGTGGCAGCAGCCAGGCTGCAAAGTCATGGTCGAGACCCAGCCTCCATACTGTCCAGCAGGAGCCTGGCGGCCAGCCACATCCTCAGGCTGGACCTGGGGCTTGCACATACAAGTGACGCTGATGGGAAAATTCACTTTTTTTTTTTAGACGGAGTTTCGCTCTTGTTACCCAGACTGGAGTGCAATGGCGCGATCTCGGCTCACCGCAACCTCCGCCTCCTGGGTTCAGGCAATTCTCCTGCCTCAGCCTCCTGAGTAGCTGGGATTACAGGCACGCGCCACCATGCCCAGCTAATTTTTTGTATTTTTAGTAGAGACGGGGTTTCACCATGTTGACCAGGATGGTCTCGATCTCTCGACCTCGTGATCCACCCGCCTCGGCCTCCCAAAGTACTGGGATTACAGGCTTGAGCCACCGCGCCCGGCCGGGAAAATTCACTTTGATGGGAATGAAAAAGAAATTATGCATCCTTATTTCGTGACCAAAACATGTGGCCAATTACATCTTTAAAGATTTGAGTGAGGTGGGGCATGGTGGCTCGTGGTTGTAATCCCAGCACTCTGGGAGACTGAGGTGGGAGGATTGTTTGAGCCCAGGAGTTGGAGACCAGCCTGGGCAACAAAGCAAGACCCCATCGCTGCCCAAAATACGAAGGTTAGATGGGCATGCATGATGGTGTGTGCCTGTGGTCTCAGCCCCTCGGGAGGCCGAGGTTGGAGAATCGCTTGAGCTGGGAGGTGAGACAGCAGTGAGCTGTGATGGCACCACCGCACTCTAGCTGGGAAACAGTGCAACCCTGTCTCAAAAAGAAAAAAAAGTTATTCTTTAGAATTTTACTTCTCCGTGATTCACTTTTTATAGGAGAACCACAGAGACAGAAAATATGTCACTTTGTCTTTTAGAGCCCAATAATGTCCTTAGAAAAAAGGAGCTCTCTCCCCAAGGGCCATGTGCCTTTATAAAAAACAGTTGCTGGGAAGTGTTTTATTTTTTTTGAGACAGAGTTTCACTCTTGTTGCCCAGGCTGGAGTGCAATGGCATGATTTTGGCTCACGGCAACCTCTGCTTCCCGGGTTCAAGCTATTCTGCCTTAGCCTCCCGAGCAGCTGGGATTACAGGCATATGTGCCACCACGCCCAGCTACGTTTTTGTATTTTTAGTAGAGGTGAGGTCTCTCCATGTTGGTCAGGCTAGTCTTGAACTCCCAACCTCAGATGATCTGCCTGCCTCGGCCTCCCAAAGTGCTGAGATTACAGGCGTGAGCCACGGTGCCCAGCAGGGAAGCGTTTTGGGTTCCTGTCTGTGGAGCATTTTCTTGCTCTGGATGAAGGTGGTCTGGGGAGTTTCTTGGGACCTGTGGAGTTGGCGAGCTTGTTCTCTAGGTCATAATTTTAAGTGTCCGGAGTTGCTGTGTCAGTGTGCGCCTCGTCATTGGCATCATGATGCCCTGTGCCCTGCAGGTGTGGCCAGCCCACGTGCCCTCACAAGTCTGAGCCACACAGTGAGGTGTCTGAGGCCAGCGTGGGTATGGTCCAGGAGGGTAGCCTTGACTCTGAGGGGCCTGGAGGCGTCCCAGGAATGGGGCTCGGTGGGAAGGCTGCTCATGGTGGAGGTGGACATGTGGCATGGATGGTGCTAGGCACCGCAGACGGGGGCCTTGAGGCAAAGACTAGGAGGTGGCAGGTGTAGGGCCCAGGTGTGCTGAGGGGTTGCTGCCCTGGCCATGACCTTGGACTCGTGCCCCAACTGGACCTGTCTGCTGGGTCTCCGGACCCTGGAGACACCTGGGTGGGTGGAGACTCTGCCAGCAGCTCAGAGCACTCCAGTTGGGGAGTGCAGCCTGGGGGAGCCCTTATCCCTAATATGCCTCGGGAAGGGGGCTGCTGAGATTTGGCCAGGGGCAGAGTGAGAAGGGGGTGGTGGCAGCACCTCCGGAGAGCAGAGGGAGCGCCAGGGCCTGACACTCGGGGCCCTGCTGTGGGCAGGCCTGGGCATGGCGTGGAGGCTGGAAGCTGCCTGCTTGGGATGAGGGTGGGCTTTGCCCAGGGAGCTCCTGTGTATGCACCCATTTGTTGCATGTATTTTGAGATGAGAAAGATTTGCATGCATTTCTATTTGTGTAACTATTAGGGGAGTAGGTTCGAGAATGGAGAAGGTGGGAGCTGCGCCTGGCGGGCCCCTGAGGACGTGGACGAGGTGGGGCTCCAGGGTCCTGATGGGCACAGGTGGAGGAGAGATGGAGCCACCACAGGGCCTCAGGGGCGGCTGTGAGGTGTCTGCTGAGAGCCCCCTGGGTGGGCTGTTGTTGGAAGTGGAGGCACTAGGTCCCCTCCCCGGCCAGGCCACTGTGGCTGGGACTAGGCTGTCACCTGTGAGCCCTGGATGTCTGGGGGGGGCTTGCTCAGGTGTCAGGTGCCCACCAGCCTGGTCTGTCGGGGCTGGGCAGGGGCTGAGGAGAGCTGAGGGGCCAGCTGGTTGGGCCGGGGTGGGCGTGGGCAGGGTCTGAAGAAGGCGTCCCAAGGGCTGTGGCCAGTGTAGAGAGGACGACTGCCTTGTGTGGTCTTGGGGATGGGTTGGTGGGACACTGCCTCCATGTGACCTGCTGGAAGTGCTTTAAGCTTGTATCTTTTCTATTGCAGACTTTAAAAAATTCAAAAAGCCTTTGTTCCCTCAATTATGAAGATGACGACGAGGATGACTCTCCAGTGAAGACGGTTCAGCCTGCTCCATGTGACTCCCGGGGCCTCCCGGCCGTCGCCATGCCTGGCTGCAGCCAGAGGGGCTGCAGGACCAGCCCCGGCCATTGGGCCTCGAGGGAGTCTGTGGCCGGTGATGGCTCCAGCAGGAGCAACGGGGACCCCAGTGATGGGGACAGTGCCGGGGAGGAGGGCGTCTTCCCCCCGGCCCGAGAGGAGCTGGACCTGGAGCAGATCGAGAAGAACTGAGGCTGGCAGGAGCTGGTTAGGGCCGCGGGTGCCGCCCCCACCTGCCCTGGTGCACAGAGTAGGCCTCACGCTACTTTGAACACTGAGGCATGATTTTCATTCTGCTTTTCCTAAAGAAGTATTTTGCATTTTTATGGCTTTTGCAGTTCAGGAGAGAGCTTCTCTATTTTGGATGCATTTCAAAAGGGCGTTCTATTAAACATGAATCTGCAAACAGATTATTGCGGGTCTGTGTTCCTCATGAAAAGCCTGCCATGCAGGGAGCCTTGCGTGCTTTAGTTGCTGGGAAACCCCAGGCCTGGTGCTGAGGGCCCCACTGGCCCTGTGCGTCCCTCCCTCCAGAGGGTCGCGGCCCTTGGGGCTTGTGCCAGGGCATCTGTGCCCATGAACCCTGTCACCCACACACCAGTGAACTGCCAGCTGTGGCTGCCTGGCTTTCCACCAGTGGCGGTGAGGCCGTTTGGGGCAGGTCGAGCTGCCATGAGTCCGTGGTTCCTGTGGCCTGGGAAGGCCCGGGCGCCTTTGGGTGGGGCGTGGCCCCAGGCCTTCAGGAAGGCCGTCCTGCTGGCAGCACCTACTCTGAATTTAATCCAAGGTGCTTGCTTTGCACTGTGACTCTGATGAATTTTCTTTTTTTTTTTTTTAGACAGAATTTAGCTCTTGTTACCCAGGCTGGAGTGCAGTGGCGCGATCTCGGCTCACCGCAACGTCTGCCTCCTGGGTTCAGGCAATTCTCCTGCCTCAGCCTCCTGAGTAGCTGGGATTACAGGCACGCGCCACCATGCCCAGCTAATTTTTTGTATTTATAGTAGAGACGGGGTTTCACCATGTTGACCAGGATGGTCTCGATCTCTTGACCTCGTGATCCACCCGCCTCGGCCTCCCAAAGTGCTGGGATTACAGGCTTGAGCCACCGAGCCCGGCAACTCTGATGAATTTTCATTTCCAACAGTTGAAGTGGGCCTGGCTTCGCCTCAGGCCTCTGGTCTGACTCAGCACCAGAAGGGCAAGGGACTTCCATTCTTCATCCTGCACTTTCAGTAAAATAGGGGTTTCGGGTTTGCGATACCAAAAGGAAACATTAACAATTTTGGGGAATTTTCTTGATTTTTTTTTCCCCCAAGGAAATTGATGGAAAGGTATTGAAGTTGATCAGTGCCACTTTCTTAAGTGACGTGGGCTGCGGATCAAAGGTGGGCAGAGGTGGCGAGTGGTGTGGTTTTGGATCAACTGTCCTGAGGCTGAGCTGCTCTGGTGACAGTGAAGTTCTGGCTTGGGTGACTTCTGTCTCTGCCCTGCGAGACACAGGATGGGGCTGGGGGATTTGGGGCCTTGGCAAGCTGGAGCCCCTCCCTGTCCAGGCCCTGCCCAGGCCGTGCCCTCCTCCGCTGAGGCAGTGCCCACTCCTGCTGTGCTGGCTTGGGGTCAGGAGCTCCTCTGTTCTTGGCAGGCCCTGGGTGGCTCCTGTGCTGAGGCTGACAGAGCAGGGTCTTGAGAGATGGAAGCCAGCCGGCCCCGAAGTGTAGAGAGGCTTCGGGATCCTGAGAGTGTCACCTGCTCCCCAGAGCCACCCCTGGCCCCACGTGGAGGGAAGGGAGGCCTCTGCCATTGAACTTTGACGCAGTTGCCAGGCTGCACGGGGAAGTTGTGTTTTGGGTAAATTTGTGAGATCAACCCCGGGTGATGTAGCAAAAGCCAGATGCTTGTGTAGTCGGGTCGCCGTCCAGGGCGATGGGATATGGGGTGAGGCGAGCGGTGCTCTGAGATGACTTCGTAAGGGCAGAGTCCTTCAGAGCCCTGCTGTGGGTCTGTAGTGACCTCCGGGGCACTGGCCCCTGGCCTGCGGGACATGGCAGCCTGGACAGTGTGAGGACGGGGCTGTGGGGCTGGCATGGTGGTGTCAGGCCTGCCAGGTCCCACTGGGCCCTCTGCTGCAGGCCGGGGAGGGCGTCAGAGCCAAAGCAGGGCATGTGGCTGTGACTGCAGCGGGCCCTGTGGTCCCCACCCGGGCCTGCACCCTCTGGGGCAGGTGGGGCCCTGCCCTCTTCCTGCAGTCACTCCAGAGCACGGCTGTGAGGCCGTCTGTTGTCCCCTCCTGCTGGATGGTGACCGAGGTTTGGGAGATCCGTCCACTTTGTCACCTGAATCTGGAACAGTTCCCAGGAGCTCTCACTCCTGAGTCCCCTTCAAGGACAGGCAGGAGAGGGCCCATGACTCTGCTCCTACCCCAGCCGGGGCCCTCGGGGCCCCTACCAGCTCTGAGCCTGGCCTGGGTGTGTGGGAGCGAGGGAATGTGAGGTGAGCGTGTGGAGTCGCCGTCCCATCTCTCACCCTCCCACTCCCCCCTTCCCTCGATGAGGCCTCTGGTCCTGCCCACAGCCCTTGGATTTGCCACCTTCCCCTGAACCCCCCCAGGGCTTCCCCACCCGTCTCACCTCCTACCCTAGCTCATCTCATCCTTCCCCAAACCTCCAGCTCTCCTGGGCAGGACCTTCCTGGCTGGCTGGTTATGAGGCTGAGCCCCAGGGCGATTCCCCTCAGTGCCCTTGGGGTAGGTGGTCTGGGACCTGGGGTGTCTGGTGGGGTGGGGCCCCTAGTGGGCAGTGCGGCCAGTTCTTCTGCAGTGCAGACCTACTGTGTCCTCTGCGGGTGGGGAGACTGAGAGGGAAGGTTCAGGGCAACCTTGGGTCCCCCGTCTGCCTGGCACAGGGTGGCGTGTGTGTGCTGGGAGTGAGCTCACAGCCCAGCCCCCGGAACTTGTCCCGAAGGGTGTATTTTCCCTGGGCGTGTCTGTGTATCTCCTAGGATGGTGGCCAGGACTCTCACCAGGGGCATCTGGGTCCCTTAGTTGGCCCTGCGGGGTCACCTGCCTAAGTCTGGGGGTAGCCTGGGGGGCCGGCCTGCTGCCTTGGTGGATGTGTGGCCCCTGGGGATGGAGAGAAGCTGCTGTTGAAGCCGCAGGCGGTTGTAGTGGGATGGGGGCCGCTCAGCTGTATCACCCACAGAGGGCCTGGGCTCGGTCCTTCCTCAACCGGCCACAGGCAGGTGGTCCCGGGGCCCTCTGGGGGGACCTCAGCGCTATGGGCAGGTAGGTAGGGACTTGGAGGGCTGCAGCACAGCACAGCCCCGGGGGCTCTGGAGCCTGTTTTGGGCACCCATCTCAGTGTCAGCCCCTGCAGGATCCTCTGGGTTGGGCTAGGCCATGTCTGGGCAGAGCTGGTAGGAGGGCTGGGGTTGTGCCTGGGCCCCTGGGGCAGCTCCCTTCCTGCACTGGGGGCCTGGGAGGCCGCTCCTCCGTTCCCAGGCTGGGATGCTCCAGACAGGCCCTTCCTGCCCCTAGCCCCAAGCCCTGCAGCCTCAGCCCACCCCCAGCCGGCCCCCTCTCCTGGGGCCTTCCCCACTGCAGGGCTTCTGTCCCTGTGGAGGGCTCCTGAGGGGAAGGGGCTGAGGTCAGGCTGGGTGGGGATGTGGGGATGAGAGAGGGAGGGCTTCCCCACCCTTCCCCGGGCATCCACTCCTGTATCTTCTCCTGAATACACCTCCATCCATTCCCAGACTCCCTCTGCCCCTTGAGGATCAGCCTCACCCCTGCTCCCTCTGGCTCTACCCAGAGCCTCTGAAGACCCAGGGAGGTGGGTATGGCCTGGCTGGGAGCCTCCCTGGCAGCCTAGGGTGGCAGTCTCTTGTGCCACGACATCAGGGCCAGCCGGTCCCCTGCAGTCACAGGCCCCGTTCTTTTTTTTTTTTTTTTTGAGACGGAGTTTCGCCCTTGTTACCCAGGCTGGAGTGCAATGGCGCGATCTCGGCTCACCGCAACCTCCGCCTCCTGGGCTCAGGCAATTCTCCTACCTCAGCCTCCTGAGTAGCTGGGATTACAGGCACGTGCCACCATGCCCAGCTAATTTTTTGCACTTTTAGTAGAGACGGGGTTTCACCATGTTGACCAGGATGGTCTCGATCTCTCGACCTCGTGATGCACCTGCCTCGGCCTCCCAAAGTGCTGGGATTACAGGCTTGAGCCACCGCGCCCGGCAGGCCCCGTTCTTATCCAACCTCTTGTCCCTTGTCATGGGTGCCCAGTCCAGCTGAGAGTCCTGGGCCTGCCTCTGCTGAGAGCTCGTCCTCCCAGGAACTCCCCAGGTCCAGACAGCGGTGGCGGCTGAGGTGCTGGCCCTCGCCAGGTGGCACTCTCCAGGAGAGGGGCCTGTCCGTCCTCTGCTGCAGCGGGAGCACCTCATTCTCACACTGGCTGCTCCGTGTGCAGCTCAGCCAGTGCCCTGGAGGGAGGAGGGGCAGATGCCAGGGCCATGGGTGACCGCTGGAGGGACACTGTCGCTGTTCCAGCCTTGCAGATGGGTGCCCCCAGCGAGAGCAACAATTTCATCTTTCCTCCTGGTTGGCCTTTGGGAGGAGGGAAGGAGGTCTGCCTTGAAGAGCCTGAGCCCTATGCCAGCCCTGTGGCCTCCTAATACTTGGCCTGGCCTGGTGGATGCAGACATGGACCCCTCTGTACCAGAAAAACCCAGGTGCTGGGCAGGCATGCACTTGGTCCTCTGACAGAGGTGGACTGACCAATTCTTGGGTTCTGCTCTAGACTCAGGAGGTGAGGGCATGGGATCTGGGGAGGTGTGAAGGCCCGGAGGGAGGGGTGAGCCAGGGGCCCAAGGCCCTGGGCTCAGGTGGGGAGTGTACGGGTGAGGCTACACGCAGCAGGAAGCATGACCCTGTGACGACGGATGGGAGCTTCCAGGAACGCGGCAACGCCACAAAGTTAGCTGTCTCCAAAAGTGAAGTGTGGTGGCAAACCCAGCCAATCACAAGGAGAAATTCGCAAGCCCACCGTCCTAGGCAGGGGTCTCGGTAATGCCCTCTTAGTGAGTAATCCGTCGAGCAGAATCAAACAAGCAGAGTACGGGCGGTTTGATGGTGCTGGCCCCTGAGCTTGCGCGGAGGGATGCCTGCAGAACGGGGCTCATCCGCTGGGAAGTCACATTAGTTTCAGGCACACATGGAGCCTGTCAGAAATGGACTGTTAATAGGCCAGAAAGCAAATGCTGGTACATTTCAAATACGGATCCTATTTTCTGACCACAACTCAGTAACAAAAAGCAAACAAAACCTCATGTGTTTAACAAATTCCAAAAAATATACTGTATGTGACTCATGGGATAATAGAAGAAATCAACAGAAATGAGAAGACCCAGAAC